GGTGTTCCCAATGATGTGGGTGGAGGATTGAGTGTGCTGTGTGAGCGCGAAGGAGGAGGTTAGGTGGAGGAATTGGGAAGTAGCCGGGCTGTTGTCATTGATGGGGATATTGAAGTCCCCGAGGATGATGGGGACCATCTCTGCATCTCCTCCAGGTGCTTCATTCTCTTCCCACAGCCTCAAGACATAGAAGTAGATGAATTGGCTTCCTTCTAGAGCAGACGTAGTCAGATGGGATAGCCAAAGTCATACACAGAGGAGCAAGAGATAGAGAGAGTATCTGTAAGCCAGGCCGAGGTCAGATCAGGGGTAAGGCAGAGTAGACAGGTCCAGGAGCAAGCCAAGTCGGTAACAGGAAATCACGGGTCAAAGTCACAGGAAACAAGAACAGGGCACGGGGAGCTAGAGATTATCCAGCAACTAGAGGAAGTGATGAGCCTCCTTATAAAGGCCGTCTGGCACCAGACTGAGGCTGATGTGTACTTCTGCGGCCATGTAGAGTACTGGCAGAAATGCCAGATCTTCCACAACTTCTGCCGTGGACAGGACCATGACATGAGGTCTCGTTCAGACCTATATGGTATGGTAAAGGCCTAGTAACATAGACCTGGGAACTTTCTGGATTTAGTCCAGAGCCTTTAATTGGTTTAATTACCAACCTTGCAAGCTCCAAGCCTATAATGGTCTTGGCCTCATTAGTTATTCTGCACTTAGCCAGTCACCACTGCCTGTCTCCAGTGTAGAATGGACCCCATGGTTGCCACCATGGTGTTCAGGTGGCCCTACCATCATGGTGACATTACAACAGTCATTAAAGGTGAGGGACATGGTCTCTGCCCTTGTTGACGAGGAGGACTATGAGGGTCCACCAGCAGAAGTCTTTCCACTGACTAGCACCACAGCACTGTTATACCCACATCTGGCTGCAGCTCACCATGTACGCTGCTATAAAGGCATTGGTGTGGTGTACTCTGCATGCCTCTGGTAGCCCCCTCCCCCTTTCTCCGCCCCTTACTCCCCCAAAGTCCAGCCTCAACGACTTTTGAAATGTTCCCAGTTATGAACAGAATACATAGAATGGCCACCTAACCCAAATGTCCAGTAGGTGCCAAAAGACTTGCAATCCAATGCTGCAGTTCCAAACTTTCATCCATCGCCTTGCGCTGGCAGACCATTCCAAACGAACGGGTTACCCTAACGTAGAGCTCCGCAACAGACCACAAAGCCTGAAGATACACTAAGTGGTCTATGTATAAAAAAAATACATCTCAATGTCTCAAGCATTTACACAACCCTCACGCCTAATGTTTTTATTTCCTATCATCATCAGCGCCATCTAGTGGCCATCATGCAGTATTTTCACTATTGAGGTAGTTCAGGAATATACCGCGTTATGGCCACTAGATGGAGCTGACAACCTTACAAGATGAACGTATTGGCAAATGACAGGGATTATTCATGATGAAGTGAACAGTGAATTTCTTTTAATAAACAGACCTATGAATGTCCTACAGGAAAGTTTTGTATATAGGAGTGAAAAAAAAAAGATGTAAAAATTATGAAACATTGTAGAACATTGATTTAGGGAAAAAATACCTTTGTTTGCAGAGGCAGCCAATTCACGTTTGATTAGGTCGGTATGGGGTTGGATTTCATGGTCTGTGAAACGAAAATAAATCAAGTCAACTATTCTGCAGACATATATTATTATTATTATTATTATACAGTATTTATAAAGCGCCAATAGTTCACTCAGCGCTGTACATTACAAAGGGGGACAGAACATGTGACAGAACAATACCAATACAATGCAAAACATGAGGGGATCGAGGGCCCTGCTCTTTCGAGCTTACAATCTAGAATATATTATTATTAGATCTGATCAATTTAAAGCTGAAGTTTACTCTGATTATAACTTTGCCTTCCTTGGTTCCTCCCTCCCATCTCATCAACATTTTTCAATAAATCACGGAGTCCCTGTGTTTCTCTATGCAAAGCAGGCAGATCATGGCTGGTGGGGGGGGGGGGCAGCAGGGTGCTGTACATAGCTTCCACAGCACCCCTGCCTCATCATCCCTCAGTCCTGATGCAAGCAGTGGGCTGGCTCCAGAGAGGAGTTATGCAACGATCAGGATGCCTTGACGGATGGGTGTCAGCCTAGAAGAGTGGGCGTTTCTAGGCAGGCTACATCCACATGCGGACCGAACCTTTAATGTCGGCCCCCTACTGGCTGGACCTACAGCCTGCACCCTTCTTTTCTTGAGTTCTAAGGCTGAGCTCACCAAAATCGTCCATCTCTCTCCGTCTGTGTGCTGTGTGAACGTTGATTGGCCTCTTCCTTCTCAGGGTTGGTCTGGATGCTGTGTATACAACGAACATTATGTCATAAGTTCAGCAAATCACAGCTGATAAAAACTAAACACTTCTCTATAGCCCCTCTAATGCCCAACCTGTGGCCCTTGGGGCCCCTGCAATGAGGAATTTCTGTTTTCTTAATGGCCTATTGTAGCATGGTTTCTGGCGGTGTCATGTAAGGTATGTCCAGTCTATGACTCCTGAAGCCCCAATCTCCAACAAATCCTATAGCATATTCGCTGTCTCTAACTTGGGGCCCCTTTATCAAAAAAGTCGACTTCCACCCCTATAGTCCAGGACTGTAATTTCCCATAAGAGTCTTGAGTGCTGAATGTCTTGTAGAGCGCAGAGGCCACACCAGATATGCATCCAAAGGGAGTCTTGAGTGCCGAACGTCTTGTAGAGCGCAGAGGCCACACCAGATATGCCTCCAAAGGGAGTCTTGAGGGCCAAACGTCTTGTAGAGCGCAGAGGCCACACCAGATATGCATCCAAAGGGAGTCTTGAGTGCCGATCGTCTTGTAGAGCGCAGAGGCCACACCAGATATGCATCCAAAGGGAGTCTTGAGTGCCGAACGTCTTGTAGAGCGCAGAGGCCACACCAGATATGCATCCAAAGGGAGTCTTGAGTGCCGAACATCTTGTAGAGCGCAGAGGCCACACCAGATATGCATCCAAAGGGAGTCTTGAGTGCCGAACATCTTGTAGAGCGCAGAGGCCACATCAGATCTGCATCCAAAGCTCTTGCTTTAGGGAAAAAACTATTGTAGTTATAAATAAAGGGTGTTCTTTGAACTGTGAAAAGTGAAAATTCATTTTCTGAGGGATTCTGGTGGGCTGAGTCACCCAGACCCAGGAACTTGGAGAGAGTGGAAGCTCCTTGTAGTAGCAGTGGTGGCTATGTTGACCCAGGAACTTGGGAAGAGAGGAAGCCCCATGTAGTAGCTTGTGTGAGTGTGTTGACCCAAGAACGAGAGTAGAGTGGAAGCGCTTGCAGTAGCTGTGGTGACCCAGGAACTTGGGGAGAGTGGAAGCCCCATGTAGTAGCTTGTGTGAGTGTGTTGACCCAAGAACGAGAGTAGAGTGGAAGCGCTTGCAGTAGCTGTGGTGACCCAGGAACTTGGGGAGAGTGGAAGCCCCATGTAGTAGCTGTGGTGGATGTGTTGACCTAAGAACTTGGGGAAAGAGTGGAAACCTCTTGTAGTGGCTGTGGAAGTTGTGTTGACTCAGGAACTCAGAAAGTGGAAGCCCTTTGTAGTAGCTGCGGTGGGGGTGTTGACTCAGGAACTCAGAGAGAGTGGAATCTCCTTGTAGTTGCTGTGGTGGCTGTGTTGACCTAGAAACTTAGGTAGAGTGGAAGCCCCATGTAGTAGCTTCCATGAGTTTGTTGAACCAGGAGCGAGAGCAGAGTGGAAGCCCCTTATAGTAGCTGCGCTGGTTGTGTTGACCCAGGAGCTCGGAGAGAGTGGAAGTTCCATGTAGTAGCTGTGGTGGCTGTGTTGACCTAGGACCATGGGGAGAGTTTAAGCCCTTTGTAATAGCTTCCATGGGTGTGTTGAACCAGGAACAAGAGCAGAGTGGAAGCCCTTGCAGTAGCTGCAGTGGGTATGGTGACCCTGGAACTCAGAAAGAGTAGAAACCCCTTGGAGTAGCTGCGGTGGGTGTGGGGACCCATGAATTCACAGAGTGGAAGCCCTTTGCAGTAGCTGTGTTGGGGGCGTTGACTCAGGAACTCGAACAGAGTGGAAGCCCCTTATAGTAGCTGCACTGGTTGTGTTGACCCACGAACTCAGAGAGAGTGGAAGCTACTTGTAGTAGCTGTGGTTGCTGTGTTGACCCAGGAACCTGGGAAGAGTGGAAGCCCTTTTTAGTAGCTTCCATGAGTGTGTTGAATCAGAAACAAGAGCAGAGTGGAAGCCCCTTGTAGCAGGTGTGTTGACCAAGGAACTCAAACAGAGTGGAATCTCTTCCAGTAGTTTCAGTGGGCATGTTGACCCAGGAACTCAGAGACAGCAGCAGCCCCTTGATTCACAGGTTCTGTGATGGGAGTGCACAGGTCCAGTCCTTGCCTCCCAGGCTTTTCCTGAGAAAGAACATAGCTGTGGAATATTGCTTCCGCTTGGGCCTTGGGGACGAAGCCAGAAGAAGAAGGATTTTGGCTTTCTAGATGCCCATCTGGACCTAACGTGTCTAAGCTGGCCTGTGGCAGAGGCCTGAAGAGTCCTGAGCTGGACTGCAGCAGAGAACGAAGAAACTGGAAGATAGTGACCCCCTTTCCAGCATTCCCTCAGCAGGAAAATGTTCCTGGAGGATAGCAACTGTTATCATAGGAGACGGTCTTTGTTAAAGGTGTCTGAATGGGGTAACCATGCATGGCAGGCCATTGTGATACCTCATGCTTATAACACAGGTGACCTAAGGAACCATCATGCAGTGGTTGTCTCCTTGAACTCTCATGTCTATGAGTACTTCCATCATTCATCTAATCCAAGCTGACCTTACTAGGCTAAGCAGGCATTTAAAACATGCACATATGCATTAAAGTCAATAGAATTTGAGAAAATGAAGAACATTAAAACCAGATTGAGTGCACAAAATGAAAGAAGAAGCAGAAAACATATTTTTTTTCCCCTAAATTGTGATGGTTCCTCACCTTTGCTGACCTCCACAGGAATTTCTTCCTCTTTAATTCTCACTTGTACCGCTTCAAATTCCTTCAGAATCTCATAATCATCCCTTGAACACTCCGGGTTTTCTCCACCACCATCAGGAGAACAATTCAAGTATTTGCTCTTTATTGTTCCCTGAACACAGTATCACAATATAAAAAAAAAGAGTGTAATCTTGTTTGGCCCTAGAAAAGTTAAGACTCATTAGCAAAATATGGTTTCCACCTACTTGATGACGGTGAGGGATGCTGTGATCTTCCTGTGTGGAATCCCGGGAATACAGAGGACGGAGACATCTCTCTGGTGGGTTCCCATGACTGGATCCATCTGTAGGAAACACACACACTGACTGAATCCATTGTTTCTATGTGTTTATCAGATGATGGGGGATCTAGGTGGACCCTCCGTACTGCTCTCTCCTTTACAATAAAGTCTCCTCTTACCCGGTGATGTGAGGGGCGGCTGATTGTCCATCATGACGTCCTTGTAGAGGTCCTTGTGTCCTTCTAAATACTCCCACTCCTCCATGGAGAAATAGACAGTGACACCCTGACACCTTATAGGAACCTGACACACACAATGATACAGTCACCATCCAGACACATCCCTTGTCTGTTACTGGAGAATGTCCCAGAATTCCCGGCACCGCTCACCTCTCCGGTCAGCAGCTCAATGATCTTCTGGGTGACTTCTAGAATCTTCTGTGCATTTTTACTTTCAGGTATGAGAGATTGAGGTGGTGTACTGGATTTTGAGAATCTCTTCCAACCTCCCGACAAATGAGGATGGCTGCTGGGAGTCAAACACTCGCCAGTCCTCTTCTTTACCACCACGTAATCCTGTTATAAAAGGCAAGCAAATCCCACTACATGCATTCCCAGAATCCTCCTCACCTCTCCGATCAGGTCTGTTTTATTAATAGAGATAAGAGTAATGTCATGTGACCTCCCAGAATCCTCCTCACCTCTCTGGTCAGGTCTGTGTTTTATTAATAGAGATAATAGTGGTGTCATGTGACCTCCCAGAATCCTCCTCACCTCTCCAGTCAGGTCTGTGTTTTATTAATAGAGATAGGACTGATGTCATGTGACCTCCCAGAATCCTCCTCACCTCTCCGGTCAGGTCTGTGTTTTATTAATAGAGATGAGAGTGATGTCATGTGACCTCCCAGAATCCTCCTCACCTCTCCGGTCAGGTCTGTGTTTTATTAATAGAGATAAGAGTGATGTCATGTGACCTCCCAGAATCCTCCTCACCTCTCCAGTCAGCAGGTAGATGATGTTCAGCGTGAGGTTTAATATTTTCTGTGTTACATCCATATTGTCCTTGTCCATTGTGAGAAGTAGTAGAAAGGACTCCGATGTGGGCGGGAGTTGCTAATCGCAGTCTGAACAGTGAAAATACCACAGAAAAATTAACTGCCATAAGGCAAGAGATTAGGAGAGGGGGCTGGAGGAGGGGAAGAAAGGAAAGGAAGAGGAGAGTGGAGGAGGGGAAAAGAGGAAAGGAAGAGGAGAGTGGAGGAGGGGAAGAGAGGAAAGGAAAAGGAGGGGAAGAGAGGAAAGGAAGAGGAGGGGAAGAGAGGAAAGGAAGAGGAGAGTGGAGGAGGGGAAGAAAGGATAGGAAGAGGAGAGTGGAGGAGGGGAAGAGAGGACAGAAAGAGAAGAGACCAAAGGACCGGAAGCAAAGAAAAAGAAGAGAGGAGACATGAGGAGGGAAAGAAGAAGATAAAGTGAGGAGACTAGAGGAAGTGAAAAGAGGAGAGAAGGCCAGTAAAGGGAAAGAGTGGAAAAAAGTGGAGAGGAGGAGAAGAGAGATAAAGAGAGAAGAGAGAGGAGACCTAAGGACTGTAAGAGTGAAAAAGAAAGAGAGGATACTAGAGTAGAGAAAGAAAAGAGAACAGAGGAGAGAAAGAGAGGAGCCTGGAAGAGGAGAAAAGTGAAAATAAAGAGAGTAGACCAGAGAAGGAGAAGAGAGGAAAGAGAGAAAGAGAGGAGACCAGAGAAGGAGAAGAGAGGAAAGAAAGAGAGGAGACCAGAAAAGGATAAGAGAGGAAAGAAAGATAGGAGACCAGAGAAGGAGAAGAGAGGGAAGAAAGAAAGGAGAGTGGAAAGAGAGAAGAGAGGAGACTTGGAGGAAGGACTAAAAGAAAAGTGGAAGAGAGGGGACAGGAGGAAGGGTTAGAAAAATGGAGGATACCAGAGGAGGGATTAGAAGGAAGAGAGGAGTCTGGAGGTGATGTGAGAAGAAAGATGGAAGAGAGGAGACTGAAGGAGGAATGAGAAGGATGGTGGAAGAGAGAAAATCAGAGGAAGAATGAGAAGAAAGATGGAAGAGAGAAGACCAGAGGAAGTATGAGACAAAGTGGAACAGTGGAGACCGAAGGAGGAGGTGAGGGGAATGGTAGAAGAAGAGGACACCGGAGGAAAGGCGAAGGAGAGGACTCCAGAGGAAAGGTGGAAGAGAGGACACTGGAGGAAAGGCGGAAGAGAGGACACTGGAAGAAATTCAGAATAGAGGGCTCCAGAGGAAAGGCGGAAGAGAGGGCACCGGAGGAAAGGTGAAAGAGAGGACTCCAGAGGAAAGGCGGAAGAGAGGACGCCGGAGGAAAGGCAGAAGAAAGAAGAAAGGACACCGGAGGAAAGGTGGAAGAGAGGACACCGGAGGAAAGGTGGAAGAGAGGACACCGGAGGAAAGGTGGAAGAGAGGACTCCAGAGGAAAGGCGGAAGAGAGGACTCCAGAGGAAAGGCGGAAGAGAGGACTCCAGAGGAAAGGCGGGAAGAGAGAATGCCAGAGGAAAGGCAGAAGAGAGGACACCGGAAGAAAGGTGGAAGAGATTACCATGGGAAAGGTAGAAGAGAGGACACCGAAAGAAAGGTGGAAGAGAGATAAACAGAGGAAAAGCGAAAGAGAGGACACCAGAGGAAAGGCAGAAGAGAGGACACCGGAGGAAAGGTGAAAGAGAGATTACCAGAGGAAAGATACAACAGAGGACACCAAAGGAAAGGTAGAAGAGAGGACACCGGAGGAAAGATGGAAGAGAGGACACTGGAGGAAAGGTGGAAGAGAGGACACTGGAGGAAAGGTGGAAGAGAGGACACTGGAGGAAAGGTAGAAGAGAGATTATCAGAGGAAAGGTACAAAAGAGGACACCAGAGGAAAGGTGAAAGAGAGGACACTGGAGGAAAAGTGGAAGAGAGATAAGCAGAGGAAAGGTGGAAGAGAGGACACCGGAGGAAAGGTGGAAGAGAGGACACCGGAAGAAAGGTGGAAGAGAGATAAGCAGAGGAAAGGTGGAAGAGAGGACACCAAAGGAAAGGTGGAAGAGAGGACACCGGAGGAAAGGTGGAAGAGAGCAGACTGGAGGAGGAATGAGAGGGAAGGTGGAAAAGAGGAGAGCGGAAAAGGGGTGAGATGAAAGATGGAAGAGAGAAAGGGTGCAAGGATGGGTAAGGAGTAAGAAGAGGAGAGGAGAGATGAAGAGAGGAAGGGTAGGCAGGAGGAGAGGAAAAAGCAGAGTTGAGGAAAGCGCGGAATGAAACAAGAGAGGATTAGGAATGGAAGATAAGACGAAGAGCAAAGGAACAGGAGGAGGGGGAAGAGGAAGAGGGGAAAGTAGAGATGAGGAAAGGAAAGAAGAAGAAGTTTAGGAAAGGAAGACACGAAGGGGAGGAAAGGAGCAGGGAAAGAGGGGAGGGGATGAATGCCATGTCCATGTAGCATGGTATTGGCATGTTCGGAACCTTTTTTTATATCTCAGGTGTCTGACACCACATGAACCCAGAAAAAGAGAGGAGGAAGACAGGGGAGCATAGGAGGAGAATTCTTCGCCATACCTGTCTGTATAGAATATTATGGCGAACATTTATCAATTCTGTCACACAGCCAGGTGACATATAAAGACACATAAATAGACATATAAATACAAAACATATATATATCGATACACACCCAGGTATAGAATAGGGGTGTGACCTGTACAGGTCTCAGAGTGGGATTGCATATTAGAGGATGACCCCCCTCTAGCCCACAAGGCACAGGATGAGTGGTCCGTTACCTCGGAGGCTGCGCAGTGCAGCTCACGCTCCACACCCACATTATTAATAATACAGACAAGCCCTTATTATTCCATAAACTGACCTCTCTGTACAAACCTGGTCAGCAGCTGCCTGATAATGTCCCCTGCCGCACAGGACGCTGGGAAATGTAGTTTCCTCCCCTAAGAACAATTTCCTTCTGGCGTCCATTTTTTTAAAGTCCATATCTGAGGACATTTTTATTAATCTGTTGGAAAGACATCATAACTCGTTGAAAATCGATAATATCTCAAGTGTTCGTCTTTTCTATATTAATCCAAATACTTAAATTCCCTTTTACTCATTTTCGATTAAAATTCAGTGTCATGTCCCAGCAACATCTGTATAGGTCTACGACAAAATGGCCTCCATGACGATATGCGTTTGTTGTTCTGCAGCTGGCCTCCGTTACCCATGAGGCTGTGCAGTACCTGCTGCTGGAGAGGGTAGAGTGCAGCTTATATGGAGGAAAGAGTGAACCCAACTCCATCATGAAGAGCACAATGCCAGACATGGCGGAGCGGATACTGGACCTCACCCTGGAGATCATCTACCTGCTGACCGGAGAGGTAAGGAGGATTCTGGGAGGTCACATGACGGCACTCTTATCTCTATTAATAAAACACAGACCTGACCGGAGAGGTGAGGAGGATTCTGGGAGGTCACATGACATCACTCTCATCTTTATTAATAAAACACAGACCTGACCGGAGAGGTGAGGATTCTGGGAGGTCACATGACATCACTCTGGTCTCTAATAATAATACACAGACCTGACCGGAGAGGTGAGGAGGATTCTGGGAGGTCACATGACATCCCTTTCATCTCTATTAATAAAACACAGACCTGACCGGAGAGGTGAGGAGGATTCTGGGAGGTCACATGACATCACTCTCATCTCTATTAATAAAACACAGACCTGACCAGAGAGGTGAGGAGGATTCTGGGAGGTCACGTGACACCTCTGTTGAGTTTATTGACATTGCAAAGCATTAAACGTTGAAGTTTCTTTTCTTATTTTCTAGGATTATGTCATTGTGAGGAAGTCTCGTGATGACCCAACCTCAAAATTGTTGTCCAAGAGCAAAAGCCTCATCTCATTTCTTCCACCTCCCTCCTTGATACCTGACAGAAATAGCGACAAGAAGATACTAGAAGTCACCAAGAAGATCATTGATCTGCTGATGGGAGAGGTGAGTGGTGACGGGAATTCTGGTACATTCTCCAGTAACAGACAAGGGATGTGTCTGGATGGTGACTGTATCATTGTGTGTGTCAGGTTCCTATAAGGTGTCAGGATGTCACTGTCTATTTCTCCATGGAGGAGTGGGAGTATTTAGAAGGACACAAGGACCTCTACAAGGACGTCATGATGGACAATCAGCCGCCCCTCACATCACCGGGTAAGAGGAGACTTTATTGGAAAGGAGGAGAGCAGTACGGAGGATCCACCTAGATTCCCCATCATCTGATAAACACATAGAAACAATGGATTCAGTCAGTGTGTGTTTCCTGCAGATGGATCCAGTATTGGGAACCCACCAGAGAGATGTCCCTGTCCACCAGATTCTAGTAATCCTGCACAGGAAGGTCTCAATGTCCCACTGCACGGCCAGGTACATGGGATTGGGGGTCGTAACAAATGTGAACTCAGCTTCATATTTTATCATCTTATTTCTTTTTTGGATTTTAGGTTGATGATCTGATTGTGGTTAAAGTGGAGGACATGGACTATGATGAAGAAGAAACATATGTGATTGAGGTACAACCATTATCAGAGGAGGAAAGTTCTCCAGATACCGTTGAAGGTGAGTCATGAAACTTCACAGATGGTCCATGTTCAGTCTCTGCAAGAATCTCAGAGAGAAATGTATCTGGTAATACGATGAATAGTGAGTGGAGTTTAAGATTTTGTCTAACAGAGTTGAGACTTCTTTGCCAAAGTCAAGGGACCAAGTCAACTAAATCTTCAGAACTAAAGCTGCCCATGTGAGCAGGGTCTCTGCTCATTCATGGGAAGATGAAGACACCTGGCTTTCGCCATGCCATGCTCTTTTTTGACATGTTTTGGGAGCTGAAAATTTAATTTCAATTTAACCTGATGTAACACCAAACCTTCCAAACTGATGCTGCTACCACATTCACTAAGCTCCAGGCACCTCGAACCTCCGGGAATGGTCTAGTATGCAAATATCAGTCAGACTTGGCCTAGAACCTGGCTCTCCTAATGGGTTGCACTGTTGGCAAGAGAGGTTGCCCATTAAAGTGATGGTCAGAAATTGGAAGGTGAAGGGCCAACCTGGAAGTTGATCTTCTCGAAAAGCATGGTCATATTTTCGCCTTTAGCTGTCTTCTGTTTTCAATAACATTTTTGTTCTGGCTTTTTGTTTAGATGGTCAAAAGGCAAAGAGAACCTCCGAGGGAAGAGTCAGGTTTTATCCAGATTGTGATCCAGAAGATAACAACAATCCTTCAGAAGAGAACACTTTTGCCTTAAATACACATCTGGGATTTTTTACCCACCCATGTAAACCCTCCAGTCTTGAAGGACCTTATCCTGATAAGTCACAGACTTTTGCCCCAAAATATTTATCCGAGACTTCAGGGTACATACAGGTCACTGCACTCTTCTAGTGCTGAAAAACCTTCTAAAGATACATCTGATCCGGTTAGGCATACCAAACAGCACAAGGCTGGTAAGGACAATTCATGTTCTGAGTGTGGCAAATGTTTTACTGAAAATTCATCTCAACATGCTGAGGAGAAACGATACCAATGCCTCGAGTGTGGCAAACGGTTCTTCTTCAAGTCCGACCTCACTGTGCACCAGAGAGTTCACACTGGCGAGGAACCCTATCCCTGCTTCGAGTGTGGCAAAAGTTTTTCACACAGGACGACGTTGGTCTGCCACCAGCGAATGCACCGGGGAGAAAAACCATTCTTGTGTTCGGATTGCGGGAAGTGCTTCACTCGAAAGTCTTGCCTTCTGCAGCACGAGAGAATCCACACGGGAGTCAAGCCGTACGTCTGTTCGGAGTGCGGGAAAAGCTTCAACCAAAAATCGTCTCTGATTAGTCACCAGAGAGGCCACAGGGGAGAGAAACCGTTCACGTGCTCCGTGTGCGGGAAGTCTTTCACACGGAGTTCCAGCCTTGTGGTCCATCACCGTTTTCACACCGGGGAGCGCCCCCCTACACCTGCCTGAAGTGCGGAAAGTGTTTCTCTCAAAAAGCAAACTTTGTCAAACATCAGAAGATCCATGCACGTTGATTTTTTGGGGTTTCAAAAACTTTTTTTTAATGAAAGAAAAACTCCATACAAGTATTAAAAACACATATAGAGTATATTTAATCAAAAAGCCGGAAGAATGCTTCCCGGGTGTCAAGAATAATAACCTGAAATTTTTCTTTAGTATTACACGCCAAGTGGACGTCGTTATTAGGCTCATGTTGAATGTGATGTGTGGGAGGGGGAGTACATATGTGGACTTAAAGAAGGGAGAGGGATCAGGCTGTTCATCAATGGTTTGCTAATCAACAGTATTTTACAGTCCTATCAGGGTGTGTGAGGTCCACAGCACAAACCTACAGAAAAGCAGGGCTAGAAAAGTGTTGACAACCTTCCTGTAGGACAATGGGGTAGATAAGAGTAGGGACATTACCCTTACCGTGCATTTCTTTACAAATCCTTCCAATGGAAATATAGCTTCTGTTCTTCCCACTGTGTGGGTAGGCTGGATGACACATACAGTACGAGAATACATTGGCCAACTGACTTGTGCATGAAAGAATAATGGAAAATGGACAGAGGATGGTGTCTGCGGGATGTTCCTGGTCTGTAGACAAAGATACACTGAATAAAAGTAAAGTGTTTCCCCAACTCAGCCTTCAGATCTGCTATGTTTGATGCTCCTTAAAGGGTTTTGGGGGGTAAATGACTTCCCATCTTGTACAGGAAATATCCAACTTCTGGAGAGAGGAGAAGGTTCAGCAATCGCTTAGGTAGGCTGAAATTGACTTTGGATGATGGGGCTTTGTATTTATATAATAGACATCTATTTTAACATCTCCATTGATGTAACTAGTGGACAGGAGATATAATAATAAGCTCAGTGTTCTTGACACATGGATTATCCATATCCTGCCAAAGTTGGAGAATTGACTTCTTAATTCATCCCCTCACCACAAGTCCAGTCCATAGATTATCCGTATCCTGCCAAGGCTAGAGAATGGACTTCCTAATTCATCCCTTCACCACCAATCCAGTCCAAAGATTATCCATATCCTGCCAAGGCTGGAGAATTGACTTCTTTATTCATCCCCTCACCACCAGTCCAGTCCATAGATTATCCATATCCTGCCAAGGCTGGAGAATTGACTTCTTAATTCATCCCCTCACCACCAGTCCTTTCCATAGATTATCCATATCCTGCCAATGCTAGAGAAATAACATCTTACTTTATCCCTTCACCACCAGTCCAGTCCAAAGATTATCCATATACTGCCAACGCTAGAGAAATAACATCTTAATTCATCCCCTCACCACCACAACCATCTTCACCACCAGTCCACTTCATAGATTTTTCACATCTGCCAAGGCTACAGAATTGACTTCTTAATTCATCTCCTCACCACTAGTCCAGTCCATAGATTATCCATATCCTGCCAATGCTAGAGAAATAAACAACAACATGTTAATTTATCCCCTCACCACCACCCTCATCATCATCTTACCACCGGCCAGTCCATAGATTTTTCACATGCTGCCAAGGCTAGAGAATTGACTTACTAGTTCACCCCCTCACCACCTTTACCACTAGTCCAGACCATAGATTATCCATTTCCTGCCAACGCTATAGAATTACCGTCTTAATTCATAGCAGTTCCACCACCATCTTCACCACCAGTCCATAGATTTTTCACATGCTGCCAAGGCTAGAGAATTGACTCCTTAATTCATCCCCTCACCACCAGTTCAGACCATAGATTATCCATTTCCTGCCAACGCTATAGAATTACCATCTTAGTTCATCTCAATTCCACCACCATCTTCGCCACGGTCCAGTCCATAGATTTTTCACATGCTGCCAAGGCTAGAGAATTGACTCCTTAATTCATCCCCTCACCACCAATCCAGTCAATAGATTATCCATATCCTGAAAACGCTAGAGAAATAACATCCTGATTCATCCCTCTCACCACCACCACTATCTTCACCACCAGTCCAGTCCAAAGATTTTTTTACATGCTGCCAAGGCTAGAGAATTGACTCCTTAATTCATCCCCTGACCACCTTCACTACCAGTACAGTTCATAGATTATCCATATCCTGCCAACGCTAAAGAAATAAAATCTCAATTCATCCCTGCACCACCACCACCAGTCCAGTTTATAGATTATCCATATCCTGCCAATGCTATAGAATTACTGTCTTAATTCATCTCCTCAATTCCACCACCATCTTCACCACTGGCACAGTCCACAGATTTTTCACATGCTGTCAAGGCTAGAAAATTGACTCCTTAATTCATCCCGTCACCACCTTCACCACTAATCCAGTCAATAGATTATCCATATCCTGCCAACGCTAGAGAAATAACGTCCTAATTCATCCCCTCACCACCACCACCATCTTCACCACCAGTCCAGTCCAAAGATTTTTTACATCCTGCCAAGGCTAGAGAATTGACTTCTTAATTCATCCCCTCACCACCACCACCACCGGTCCAGTCCAAAGATTTTTCACATCCTGCCAATGCTAGAGAATTGACTTCTTAATTCATTCCCCCCACTGCCACAGTCCATAGATTATCCATATCCTGGCAACGCTGGAGAATTGACTTCTTAATTAAACCCACCCACCATCACCGCCATCCAGTGCCATGCTCCTATGAGGGCAGAATTGGCAACCAACACTGGACTGTTTGTACCAAATACACTTTTTTCAGCTAACTTTCTTCATAGTTGGCACATAAGAGGGTGACTATGGCAGGGCAGGCTTTTCCACTCGTGCTGTGGTTACTTTAGAAAGACCTTTCATTAGTTTTTAATGCACTTGGAATGTGTTTAGTTGATTTAAAGTTCCATTGGGCTTAAAGCCTAGAACCTAGAAGATCGGCCACCACACCAAACTGAAACAAAATATTATTTACCTTTTGACCAGTATCTCCCCCTCATATTTTGCTGATGGGTTACCTTGAAAAAGAGGCCTTGTCGAGGTGTCACCATATTGGCTGAATAAATAGCTTTCCCCATTGTGGTGCTGATCTTTTTTAAGCTTGATTTTTTTTTCTTTGTGAGCTCTGGAGAGCCTGGTACACCATGCCCAAACCCAATAGATTGACAGGACAGATATATCTGCTTTGCTCCGGGCCCCTGCTGTGCCTCTTACATGGTGCACCCACAACCCCTGCAGAATTTTTAATTATTTTACATTGCAGAGAATTTAAAGGGAGTGGTTTGAACACAAAAACCTCCACGGTAGACAGGAATAAGAGTCATCAATTATGGCAGATATCTCACCAGTGGAGAATCCAAAATACTTCACCCTCCAGTCTCCACCTATATCAGCGGTGAGTGGAGTGACCCTCTGTGTGACCTTTAGCTTATTTCCATCCCCCCCATTTCGCATTTTCCATGTGATCCCCCTTAAGGTCCAACTACAAAAATCCAAGAATATTCAGGGCATTGTGCCCACTTTTTCAGACAAAGCCCCAAGAAATGTCCAAATCGTGTAGAAGGTATGAGTCAGCCAGATGATCCGAACAAGGGCAGACTGACAACTTATGGGGCCCCCGGGCAATAGGGGATCATGGGGCCCCTGTGTCCTTGCCCAAAAAAGCCTATGAAAAAAGTACCAGGGGCATCTCATGGGGCCCCCTACTGACCCCGGGCCCTCGGGCAGTGCCCAAGTTTCCAAATGGTCAGTCCGCCCCTGGATCCGAATTAACATGTTTTGTACCCAATCTGTTGTTTTTATCCTTTTTCCATTATTTACAGCATTCATACCCTGATGAAGGAGCAGTTTCGAGCCCCTGAAATGCATTGATGTCTTTCCTAACCTTTTTCCCTATGCAATAAAGATTTATTGAACTCAAATTTGTGGCACCCTTCTACACTCTTCGCAGTACTCCAGATGAGCTGGCTTTCAAGTCCCTTCTCCTTAACATTTGGGTTCAGCACCCCACCTTCATGTTGTGTCCAAGAAACATCCAGACATTGAGATAAAGATGATTCCTGCTTGATTCCTCAAAAGGCTCCTGAAACCAGCAGCACTTTAGGTACTTCTTGTCAGGTTTTGTCAGGGTCCTGTCCACGGCAGAAGTTCTGGAAGTTCTGGTATTTCTGCCAGTACGCTACATGGCTGCAGAAGTACACATCAGCCTCAGTCTGGTGCCAGACGGCCTTTATAAGGAGGCTCATCACTTCCTCAAGTTGCTGGATGATCTCTAGCTTCCTGTGCCCTGTTCCTGTGATTCTGACTTGTGATTTCCTGTTACCGACTCGGCTTGCTCCTGGACCTGTCTACTCTGCTTTACCCCTGATCTGACCTCAGCTTGGTTTACGGATACTCTCTCTCTCGCTCCCCTGTGTATGACCTTGGCTATCCCATCTGACTACGTCTGCTCTGATTCCCACCTGGTACCTGACTTTGGCTTGAACCGACTACCCAGTAAACATCTAAATCCCGGAAGGGCTTGCATACCACGCACAGGTGCCTCCTGTCTGCAGACCTATCTCCGTGCACCAGCTGTGCTTCTGAGTGGACCACCAACCAGCACTCCTACAGGCGACCTGTGCAACTTTGGGCCTGACTCCCACTCTCAGGGGAGTCCGGAACGTAGCCACAAGGGAAGCCCTCTCTCCATTGGCCTCCATCACCAGGTACGTGAAAGGTTTGCTGGTGAACGTCGCAAACTCTGTTGAAGCTCACTGACTGCAGGTTGGGAATTATACATATTCTGAAGCTTTAAACCTAGCTGTGCGATGAGGAAGAAAAGTAACCAAGTAAAAAAATAAATAAATGCAAATAAATCTTTTTGCAATAAAGAACAGTTTTTACCTACTTCTGTTTTTTAGCTGTCAGCATGGACTGCAGCTTTAAAGGAAGTTGTACATAAAACATACCAGGTTGAAAAGCATAGGGTGCACACTCAAATTACCCAAGACCTCTATTATCTATAGAAAGTGCCCACCCAAGCATTGTCTGATTTGGACATCCACCAGCAGGAAGCTGGAACTCTCCCACAAAGTGGAGATGGACATGTAGACAACCAGTCCTGGAACCCAACAAAGCAGTGTCTGGGATGGATATCCAAAGGGAGGAAAGAGGAATTTTCTCACACCAAGTGGTGATGGATATGTAGGCAACCAGTCCTGGAACACAACAAAACAGTTTCTGGCATGCACACCCACCAGGGGGAAACAGAACTTTTCCCACACCAAGTGGAGGTGGACATGTAGACAACCAGTCCAGGAATCCAATCAACCAACGTCTGGGATGGACATCCACAGGGAGGAAACAGGAATTATCCCACACCAAGTGGAGATGGACCTGTAGGCAACCAGTCCTGGAACCCATTTAAGCAGTGTCTGGGATGCAAATCCATGGGGAGACAACAGGAGTTTCCCCATACCGAGTGGCGATGGACATGTAGAAAACCAGTCCTGGAAGCCAACCGAGCAGTGTCTGGGATGGATATCCACCGGGAGGAAACAGGTATTTTCCCACAAGTGTCGATGACCATGTAGACAACCGGTCCTGGAACCCAACCAAGCAATGTCTGGGACGGACATCCACAAGGAGGAAACAGGAATTTTCCCACACAGAGTGAAGATGTACATGTAGACAACCAATCTTGGAACTCAGCCAAGTAGTGTACAAGATGGACATCCACCAGGAGGAAACAGGAAGATGTGGAGATTGGATATAGACAACCAGTCCAGGAAGTCGGACACGGAGCACCACCCCCCAGTTTGTTGCTTTTGGGCACAATGACCCTTGAAGTTGTCAAAGTCTGTAATAAACTGACAATAGGGCTGTTTATAACTCGAGTAGTATTAGGGCCTGTGCTGTTGGGTTTTTAGCTAGTATCAGTTTGAGGAACTGCTGGGATTAAATCGGATTTCAGTGGCAGGTGCTTTTGACCTGCAGTGGACCTCCTTCAAGTAGGATTTGCATTCTTATAGATTTGAATAGGAATTAAAATACCGCTTGAAGCAAACAAAAGCCTGTTGACACAGGACCTTAGATGTATTGTGTGGTCTTCACATGACTGCACCATGTATGGTTGATCAGATACTAATAAGGACAGCCAACCACCACCAGTTTTTCCTTCTTTTTTTTATTAGAAAGAAAATTTGTGAAACAATACAAATCAATAAAATACATTCAACGAATAGAATGAAAACACTAAGTGCAATGTTGTCTGAGTTGTAGAAGAGACGTTGAGGCAGAGTTAGTTCGGGAGTCATTCTATATGTCAACATACATGGAGCTGTCAATGGATACACTGGAACGGTGATGGACCTGATGATCTGGAAAAGGAAGAATGAGTTCCCAATGTCTAGGATGTACAAATAGCTAAAAAGCCTGGTGGTAATCCAATTCATCCATTCATCTACAATGTTATGTCCGGCTTGTTGCACATGTTGAAATTTGAGCTTTCTACATACTAAATGGGGAGTCACTACTGCTTCAGCCAATAATATTATACAATAATCAGGCCGATAGCTCTAAGTGCTATACATGACCCACTAACAGTCTGTTAGCCCCATTGATTGGATTGAAGTGTTCCATTCAAACATCAGCAGTGTGGCCAGTACTTGCCGCCATTGGGCTCCTTGACCAGACTAGGGCTGAACTGCTGCATTTGTAGGCATTTCCACCATTGTTTGCTGTAAAGAGGACCAAAAGAGAACCTCAACTCTTTGCTCAACTTTTTTCCTTGAGATCACACCTCCTAACTGCTCAGATATTGCTTATCCACATCTGAAAGATATAGATACATGGTATGCAATTCAAACACAAGGACAGTTGGAGCCATAAAATCAGTTTCATATTTTAGATTAGGTTCAATGGCAATATCCAGACAGTTCTCTAAAGAAAACAAAAAAAATTCCATTGCCAACTCCCTGTAATAGAAGAGGTATCATACACACCTTATCATTAGCCTGTGTCACCTACCTCCCCTCCATTCCTGTAATAGAAGAGGTATTATACTCCCCTCTCCGGTGTCCTGTGTCTCCTACCTCCCCTCCATTCCCTGTAATAGAAGAGGTATTATACTCCCCTCTCCGGTGTCCCGTGTCTCCTACCTTCCCTCCGTTCCCTGTAATAGAAGAGGTATTATACCCCCCTCTCCAGTGTCCTGTATCTCCTACCTCCCCTCCGTTCACTGTAATATAAGAGGTATTATACTCCCCTCTCTGGTGTCCCGTGTCTCCTACCTCCCCTCCATTCCCTGTAATAGAAGTCCTGTGTCTCCTACCTCGCCTCTATTCCCTGTAATAGAAGGAGGTATTATACTCCCCTCTCCGGTGTCCCGTCTCCTACCTCCCTTCCATTCCCTGTAATAGAAGAGGTATTATACTCCCCTCTCCGGTGTCCCGTGTCTCCTACCTCCCTTCCATTCCCTCTAATAGAAGTCCTGTGTCTCCTACCTCCCCTCCATTCTCTGTAACAGAAGTCCTGCGTCTCCTACCTCCCCTCCATTCCCTGTAATATTAGAGGTATTATACTCCCCTCTCCAGTGTCCCGTGTCTCCTACCTCCCCTCCGTTCCCTGTAATAGAAAAGGTATTATACTCCCCTCTCTGGTGTCCCGTGTCTCCTACCTCCCCTCTATTCCCTGTAATAGAAGATGTATTATACCCCCCTCTCCGGTGTCCCGTGTCTCCTACCTCCCCTCCGTTCCCTGTAATAGAAGTCCTGTGTCTCCTACCTCCCCTCCGTTCTCTGTAATAGAAGAGGTATTATACTCCCCTCTCCGGTGTCCCGTGTCTCCTACCTCCCCTCCATTCTCTATAACACCAGAGAGGGGAGTATAATACCTCTTCTATTACAGAGAACGGAGGGGAGGTAGGAGACACGGTACACCGGAGAGGGGAGTATAATACCTCTTCTATTACAGAGAACGGAGGGGAGGTAGGAGACACGGTACACCGGAGAGGGGAGTATAATACCTCTTCTATTACAGAGAACGGAGGGGAGGTAGGAGACACGGTACACCGGAGATGGGAATATAATACCTCTTCTATTACAGGGAACGGAGGGGAGGTAGGAGACACGGGACACCGGAGATGGGAATATAATACCTCTTCTATTACAGGGAACGGTGGGGAGGTAGGAGACACGGAGAGGGGGGTATAATACCTCTTCTATTACAGGGAACGGAGGGGAGGTAGGAGACATGGGACACCATAGAGTGATGAGTATGATATCTTTACTATAGGAGGCTGGCAGTGGGAACGTTTTGAAAACCTAACAAGTCACTTTAATGGCAAATAACACTGAAAACGTAACAAAAAAAAAAATAAAATAAAAAGAGAAATGCATCCAAAGGACTACTCAAACACTGGAATCCACCATGAACGTTCAATGTACAAAATTCCAATATACTTTATTATACTGAAATACTGCATCAGGGAAGTTTACATATCAGGTCCCTTTCCGTATGCGCAGGTTTTTCGCCTCTTGACATGCCACCACACAGCCGGTCTTGGCAAGATACCTTTGACTTTCGAAACCACTCTAGGATGAAGGCCTTCTACATAGAGGAGATAAATCCAGGCCGGTTTTTCGTTTTTATCGACAGATGCTTTGATGGGATCTTTTTGAGCCCCCCCGACATCAGCAAACTGTAGTCCTGTATGAGGAAGGTCATATTTGTGTAACAATTCTTCGGGTGCAGAAGAAATTGCACTTTGCGGAAACTGATGGAAAAGGCTTCTAAAAATGTTTGGCGCCTTGGCTCCTGAGATATATATATATAATTTTTTTTTTTTTACTTTTTTTGCACATTCCTAAGCCTATAGAGAAATGTTTGATGGATTCATTGAAAAATAAAGCCCTTGGGCTATCAAGTACAAGCGTACGGCCTCTGCCCTCGGTGGATCAGCTGATGTTTTAAGAGCAGCGAGTTGCGGGTGAAGCCCTTCCCGCACTCTGAACACAAATATGGCTTCTCCCCCGTGTGCGTCCTCTGGTGTCGGACCAGGACGGAGCTATTAGTGAAAAATTTGTTGCAGACGGAGCAGGAGTACGGCTTTTCACCCGTGTGAATCCTCTGGTGCGATATGAGGTTTGGGCTGCTCCGAAAACTTTTGCCGCACACCGTGCACGAATAGGGCTTCTCCCCAGTGTGAACCCGCTGGTGTAGGGTGAGATTCGCGCTGCTCGTAAAACACTTCCCGCACACAGAACAAACAAAAGGTTTCTCCCCGGTGTGCGTCCGCCGGTGTTTTATAAGCGACGCCTTTTGGTTGAAGCTCTTTCCGCAGTCGGCGCACACGAAGGGCTTTTCCCCAGTGTGGATCCTCTGATGGGTGGTGAGGTGAGCGCTGACGGCGAAACATTTCCCGCAGTCGCCGCACGAAAATGGCTTTTCGCCCGTGTGGATTCTTTGGTGGCGTACGTACAGCGACTTCTTGGTGAAGCTCTTGCCGCACTCTGTGCATATAATGGACTGTGATCGTTGGTGGACCCTCTGATGCTTCAGCAGGTCCGAGTTCCTGGTGAACAGCTTCTGGCACTGGGAGCACTGGTGCGTTCCGTCTACGGTCACGGTTATCTGGGGGGGAAATGGCTGACTGTAAATCGTTCCGTTGTACTGGGGGATCGCTACGGAAGGAGCTTCTAGCCTTTGCCTTGTATCAATCTCGGGGCCGCTGTCGTCATCTGTTTCCGGGACAGTATAATCCGTCTGTGCGTAAAGGTCGCCATCGGTGGGCCCACCTTCTTCATACATGGGGGCTTCTGCCTTGATGTGGGCTGTGAATTGCACGCCTGTGTGTTTATAGACGTCGACGTCTGGGAGATGTACTTCTTCAGTAGACCGTTCCTCCTTCACATGAGAAGCTGAACCTGGTGTACTCAGCGCACATGGAAGAGTTCCTCCCCTTCCACCAACCAGTTCATCCTTAACATGGTTAAACTTATGTTGCCCATGATCTCGTGGTGTAGAACTATCTCTAGGGACAGCATTCTGTTCATCGTGTGATATCACCATCTCCTTATCATCAGATGTGTCTTCAACGTAGTCCATGGTTGTAGAAACGTCGCCACTCGTGAATGGCTCTCCTTCACCAGACATGGCATCCTCCCCAATCACATCATTTTTATTTCCTTCGAGTATCAGAACACCATTTTCTGGAAGGCCCCTCTTTTGACCTGACGCAACCTCTTCCTTAATATCGTTTTTCGTTGTTTCAGATTGGCAAAATTTGGAGGAATCTGTTTGTGAGAGATGAGAAAGTTGGTTTAAAGCAGCCTTTCTCAACCTTTTCAATGCAGAGGAACCCTTGAAATAACTTTCCGGTCTAAAGGAACCCATGGTAAAAATGACTACAACTCGTGATACATTATTGTGATGGTCAGTGCGAAGAATGATCCTTACACTTGTGGTCATTGGGAAGTATTCCCCCCTTACAGATAGCTAAAAAGATCAATGGTGTCAGTGGGAAGTTATCTGAGAGGCAGATATTGCCATTGCTCAAGGAACCCCGAGCAACCTCTGGAGGAACCCTAGGGTTCCTAGTTGAGAAACCCTGGTTTAAAGTGTAACCAACCCATAAACTCTATAAGCAGACATGCCACCCCTACCTGGCGATTGACAGTGGCTCCCAATAAATGAGACACCAGCGCCAGCCAACGACCACTGTTTGACTCCAGCAGTCTGCCTCCCATTATGTCTTTACTCCTGTATAAATACAGTGAAGGAAATGTATATTTGCTCCCCTGCTGATGTTGAATGTTTGCCCACTCACAAAGAAACGATCGGTCTAAAAATCGAATGTTCGGTGTATTATAACACTGAGAGACAGAATAGCAACAACAAATTCAGCAGAAATGCATGTCTAACAAATGACTGATTTGTATGTTCATGAGGGAAATAAGGATTTGATCCCCTTCACAAAACATGACTTAGTACTTGGTGGCCAATTCCTTGTTGGCAATCACAGAGGTCAGACGTTTCCTGGAGTTAGCCCCCAGGTTCGCACACATCTCGGGAGGGATTTTGGCCCACTCCTCTTGGCAGATCCTCTCCAAGTCATTAAGGTTTGGTGGATGACATTTGGCAACTCGAACTTTCAGCTCCCTCTACAGATTTTCAATCGGATGAAGGTCTGGAGACTGGCTAGGCCACTCCTTTGTTGCCTTGGCCGTGTGTTTTGGTTCATTGTCATGCTGGAACACCCATCCACGACCCATTTTCAATGCCCTGGCTGAGGAAGAAGGTTCTCACCCAAGATTTGATGGTACATTGCCCCGTCCATCGTCCCTTTGATGCGGTGCAGTTGTTCTGTCCCCTTAGCAGAAAAACACCCCCAAAGCAGAATGTTTCCACCACCATGTTTCACAGTTGGGATGGTGTTCTTGGGGTCACAGGCAGCATTCCTCCTCCTCCAAACACAGTGAGTTGAGTTGATGTCAAAGAGCTAGATTTTGGTCTCCTCTGACTACAACACTTTCCACCAGTCCTCCTCTGCATCATTCAGATGTTCAGTGGCAAACTTCAGATGGGCCTGGACATGTGCTTTCTTGAGCAGAGGGACCTTGCGGGCACTGCAGGATTTCAGTCCTTGTCATCGTAGTGTGTTACCAATTGTTTTCTTGGTGACTGTGGTCCCAGCTGCCTGGAGATCATTGACAAGATCCTCACGTGTAGTTCTGGGGTGATTCCTCACTGTTCTCATGATCATTGACACTCCACGTGGCGAGATCTTGCATGGTGCACCAGACCTAGGGAGACTGAGACTTGTTTTGTGTTTCTTCCATTTGTGAATGATTGCACCAACTGTTGTCACCTTCTCACCAAGCTGCTTGGCGATAGTTTGGCAGCCCAGTCCAGCCTTGTGTAGGTCTACAATCTTGTCCCTGACATCCTTGGACAGCTCATTGGTCTTTGCCACGGTGGAGAGTTTGGAATCTGATTGTTTGATTGCTCCTGTGGACAGGTGTCTTTTATACAGGTAACACAATGAGATTAGCAGCACTCCCTTTAACCTCCCTAACGGTATTCCCGAGTGTAGCTCGGGGTAAAATGTCTATACCAAAAGCGGTAACCCCGAGCTACACTCAGGCTTACCATGCAGCGCTGTATAGGGAGTCCCTGCAGCACTTACCTTGTCCTTGGCTCCCGCGATGTGTCCCCTGCAGCGTCCCCGGCCATCTCCTCCAGGAGATGCCGGCATGCGCCTCCTGTGTTCCGGTCCCTCTGACGTCGGGACGTACGGGCGCCGTCGGCGGCGGGAAATTTGAAAATTTAAAAAAAATGTCATTTTTTTCAAAACGATTTTACATAGTAAAACATTGCTGTTTCAACCCATTTCACATACATTTTGTCCCTAGTGCTTTGTCCTGTCCCGTCTGCATTTTGATTGTTCTTTCTGCCTGGAAACATAGAAAAGTCCATGGCATCCAAAAAGTGTCCCTTTAGGTTAAAAGCAGGTTTAGATCAGCTAGAGAACAGCGATAGTAAATCAGAACCACTTGCAGAATTGAGTGATGATTCGTGGAGAAATTCGTCATTAGACACTGAAAACAATTTTGCGACTTTGGTCAGCGAAGTGCGAACTTGGCGCTATATTTCAAATTTCAGTGTTTTTGCTTTGATTATATTATTGAATTAAATGTATGATTTAGAATATTGTTCAGACAGATTTCAGTGAGTTATTCCTAAAAATTACAGCCTACAATAAAAAAACTACATATTTCCATGCAAAATAATGGTACCGCTTTCAGCACCAAAAATATGAAATAATCATACCGCTAGGGAGGTTAAGAGACTGCTTCTAATCTCAGCTTGTTACGTGTATGAAAGACACCTGGTAGCCAGAAATCCTGCTGAATGATAGGGGATCAAATACTTATTTCCCTCATGAACATACAGATCAGTCATCATTTGTTAGACATGCATTTCTGCTGAATTTGTTGTTGCTATTCTGTCTCAGTGTTACAATACACCGAACATTCGATTTTTAGACCGATCATTTCTTTGTGAGTGGACAAACATTCAACATCAGCAGGGGAGCAAATACGCATTTCCTTCACTGTAACTGAAAAGATTACAAATACCAACCCCAGGGGCACTATGCACCCTAGAATGCAATCATTCAGGTAGTATCATTCTAGTTATTTCTTCTGACCTCATAGGACCTCCAGGACTGTCATCAACCCCTTGTGTTAAGGTAAGCATCCTATGTTTTTTGGTTCTCCATCTCCACCCGCTTACCCAGAGTAGTGACGGTCTGGTGCCTCTCCGTCGTTGGGTCGCTGTACGAAGCCGCGTGACCCAAAAACTTCCAAACCTGCATAGAGAAAACAGCCCGTCACCTCCACATACAATAATGCAGTCACCATCCAGACACGGTCCTTGTCTGTTATTGGAGAATGTCCCAGAATGCCCGGCACCGCTCACCTCTCCTGTCAACAGGTGAATGATCTTGTTGGAGACCTCGAGGATCTTTTTGTCATTTTCCATGTCCCGTGTCAGTGAGCAGAGCACCGGTTGAATGACCCGGGAGCTGCTGTTGGCTACACCACTCTTGCCAGACTTCCTCACCACTCCATAATCCTAAATGGTAAAAGGTGACATTACATGTTATAGGGCTGAAGTACAAAGATCAAAAACCAAACCATTCACATATTGAAACATTACAACGATTTTTGTCCAGAACTCTGACCATTCCTTACCTTAGGACATTATGAACACAATATACAACCTTGTAGTAGTTAATCCCATTCCACTGGACTTGTTCTGTAATGTTGATTTTTTGCAGATTTTCCAAGCAACCTCTTCAGTTTTAATGAGTTTGGGAGAATACACCAGCATTTATATCCACACAGGTAGCAGAGAATCCTTCATCCAATCATCATGGAATTTTTCAAGACAGAAGCTGACTTTCCAAGAAGAATGACCCAACATAGAAGGTCTAAGTCTACAGGTCAAAACACAGCAGTCTTTCTACAATCGCCATGGAATGGGTCAAGGCAGATGTTGACTATCCAAGAAGAATAGCCCAACATAAAAGGATCAAGTCAACAGGTCAAGACTCAACAGTCTTCCTACAATCATCATGGAATGTTTCAAGGCAGATATTGACTGTCTGAAGACTGATAAGTCTTAATACCATTTCCATGGAATTTGTCAAGGCAGGTGTTAAAGGTCCAAGAAAGATTGTTCAACATAGAAGGGCCAAGTCTACAGGTCAAGACTCAACAGTCTTCCTACAATCACCATGAAATGTGTCAGGGCAGATGTTGACTGACCAAGAAGAATAGCCCAACATAGAAGGGCCAAGTCTACAGGTCAAAACACAGCAGTCTTCCTACAATCACCATGGAATGTGTCAAGGCATATAGTGACTGTCCACAAAGAATGACTCAACGTAGAAGGGTCAAGTCTACAGGTCAAGACTCAGCAGTCTTCCTACAATCACCATGGAATGTGTCAAGGCAGATATTGACTGACCAAGAAGAATATCCCAATCTAAAAGGGCCAAGTCTACAGGTCAAAACACAGCAGTCTTTCTACAATCACTATGGAATGTTTCAAGGCAGATATTGACT